TTTATAAAAAATTATATTATTAAACCTAAATTAAATTTAATTGTTACTAAACCTAAATTATCTATATCTATACTATATTATAAAGCATTTGACAAAAACTCTTAAAAACCATTTTTTATGCATGAAGTTCTATATATTGATGCATATCACTTAAAATTCAATATTACAAATAAATTATGCATAAGTACAACTTATTAAAGCTTCATGTTTGAATTTATGTAACTAACTGCAAATAAACATAATCAAATAGAGGATAAACATTTCATTTTAAAATATAAAAAATGTAAAATATATTTAGGATAATTATCGAGTTCTAACAAAATAATTAACTATTATCTTTATAAAAAAATTATAATACTAAACCAAATATAAATTACTTCGTTATTGAACTTAAATTAAATTATAATTAAAAATTTTGAATTAAAAAATTACACAAAAATGATGAATTTTAAATAGTTAATTTGATACTAATATCGATATAATTTTGTCAAATTTTTATGATATCTGCAAATTTATATTTTATTCAAAAATAAAATATTATCGTTTTTTCAAAATCACATAAGACCGTATTATAACATCGATTGAGATAAAAAAAATAAAATGAAATATTAAAATCAAGATGTATCTCGTTGCATTACGCGAGTACCTTTCTAGTATATATATATATATATAAATAATAATAATAATTCAATCTAATTGATAGGAATGATTAAAAAAAAATTAATCAATCTCTCTACAAATCAAATTTTAGAGAATTATCTAAACTTTGAGCTTTCTCTAGTGTTTTTTTATTTTTTATTTTAGAGAACTATATTGAGAATCTGTTAAAACAAAATAGAAGAAAAGCCTATTTTCTGGTTTTATCTATTTTAAAGAATCTGTTGGAGATACTCTTGGTGAAGTAACTTCAAACAAACATGTCCTTTTCTATGAATGAAATGGAGGGAAAGGGAGCGAAAAGAGGGGAAAGGAGAGAAATACGAAGGAAAATAATGTTGATTGTCCTTCCAAAATACATTTAGAGGAAAAGAAAAGAAATAATAACAATTAAAAATATTTAGAAAATTACACATTAACCTATCAATTACAACCACTGTAAAATAATAAGAGAATATTTATAAAATGAAATATTTTCTTTTATTTTTTGTGTTCGAGAAAATGAAAATTTATTTTATTACTTTCATTTATGTTGCCTTTCAAAAAAATAAATAAGACATTGTTTGGCAAACGTATACTAACTTACAAGCTTAGACGACAAATCATGCAAACCAATATTTATAGAAACGATGAAGGTTTATTTGAATATGAGAAGAAAAGAAAACAAAGAAAAAGAAGGAAATAATTTTCTTTTGGATATCCTACGATGGAACAAAATGAATTTGATATTTTTTAATACCTTCCTAAAGAGTTTAATAATTTTTTTACAGATAATGTCGGAGCATATTAAAATGGAGAATAAAAAATCAAAGTCTTTCAAAAAGATTTACATTAAGTATCTATAATTTTTTAATATTATAATATTAATTATATATACTCAACGCGTTTGTAAATACGTTGCCTCCAAAATCTGCATCAAATTGAAGATTAAGAGTGTCTCATGCAAAATTTCTAACCCGCTTAAAATCTTGCCTAAGCTATTGTGTTGATGAAATCTCATGACTTAAGCAAACGGGAACCAAGCGACTTTGTAGGAAAAGTCGCCTCACTCACTAGAGGCATGCAAAAGGGAGCCAAGTGACTTCAGTCGCAAGGGTAATAAAGGGATATTTGGCCAATTTTTATGCGGTTTCTCTATTGTTTTTCAGTAGTTCTCTCCATATTTCGTTGTGATATTCTCCAACCAGATAGATTTTAAAAGATTTATTCGTATTTTCCAGTATTGTAACATTATCAAGCATAGTGAATTTCTTGGTGTTCTCCTCCGCCTGTGGGTTTTTCCATTTTGGGTTTTTCACGTAAATTCGATGTCTTTCTATCTCTTTATTTTAATTCCGTCGAGTTAATTATTTTGTGATTGGTTGAAGTCCTCCTTAAGGATTTAAGTTTATCATTTCCACATTATGAACGATTTTGAGTTCATATTTGAGCCTTGCGTAAATTTGATTATTTTTCTGGATGAATATAATCTCATCAATTTGGGATGCAATTGAAATTCTGTGGTCAATATTTATAACAACATTTAAAAAAACTAATTTTTCTTTTTAAAGATTTTTATTAATAAAAATGATAAAAGAAAATCATATGTTTTTTTTAAAAAATTAGAAGAGTACCCGCACAATGCAGCAAAACGTATCTCCATTTTAATGTTTCGTTTTATTCTTTTTTTGGTCTATGTCGATATTATAATATGGATTTATGTGGTTTTGAGCAAACAATAATTTTTTTAAATATAAACTTGAAGATATAATAAAAATTAAAAAAAAAAAAGTTCTCATTTTTTGTATAATTTATTTAATTCAATTTTTTTATTTTAATTTAATTTAGGTTTAATGACGAATTAATTTGTTTTTGATTTAATAATATGGTTTTTATAAAGATAATAACTAAGTATTCTGTTATAAATCAATAATTATCCTAATTATATTTTAGATATATTTAAAATGAGAATTTCATCATGAATTTGATTATATTTATCTACAATTTGTTACATAAATTCAAATATGAAGCTTAATAAGTTGTACTTATGCATAATTTATTTGTAATTTTAAATTTTAAGTAATATGCATCAATAAACAATAATTTATATATAAAAGATGAGTTTTAAAAGTTTTTCTCAAAAGATAAATTAGTTTTAGGGAGTTATTGTATTTTTTGAAAAATTAATTGAAGCAAAAAATCAATTTTTTAAAATATATTGAAGCATATCAAGGATTGAATCGCTTGATTTTGGAAACCGAATCATTGGGACGTAAACCGTTTTCATAAAACACCCGCTGCTTTATTTTTTATTTTTATAGACTTCACACAGCTGGCCCTTCAACTTTAGTTTCTATCATTTTCAACCCCCAAACCAAACCATTTCTTTTGTTTCATCAAGTCTCGTTAAATGTTCTGTGATACATGTTGTTAAGATAACTTATATAATATATTGATTTAACAAAAAAATGTATATTGTTATATATTCGATCGATTCTAAAAAATAATTTTTTTTGATTAATTTGAATATCCAAGCAACTATGCAACCCAACTAATCCTAAGACGACTTCAAATAAGAAATATTAGTTAAGGTTGATTTATTATCAAAATAAAATTGTTAAGTGTTTATCTCTACAATTCTCCATTCTTTTGGCAGGGTTCCACATTTCAGTTTTTTACGAATGATGAAAAAGATAAGGCCGGCACAAACCAAGGTGATTTCTTGAAAATCTTGTCAACATGATTTCTTGAAAATCTTGTCAACAGAATATGGGTTTTCTCCCCTTCATTTGATTCGATCTTTGTTAATTGTTTTCGGTTGACTTCGATTATCATCCGATGTTCCGAAAATTGAATCATATTTCTAACTAGTTTTTCCAGTCTATTTCGAATTTTCTTAGTTAATTGTGACAATATGTGCAGTGTGCTTAAATATGTGTGGAATTGTTATTGGTTTTATCGTGTGATCATTTCTTGTTAGTGGGTGTTCTTTTGCAACTTCTAGAACTATCCCTATGGAAAGTTCCGGTAATTGTTTCAGTGTTTAAAACTAAGCTGATCGTTTTCTTGTTTTTGTTTATGTGATTGATGTGTATTTTTAAGGTTGACCTTCATGATCTTGGTTTGGACGATCTACTGAGCCAATTGCCGGATGAAGTTCTTGTTTCTATTCTGTCTTCTTTGCCTCTTAAGGATGCAGCAGTGACTAGCAAGCTTTCAAGAAGTTGGAGGTATTTGTGGTGTCAAACAGATCGTTTAGTCTTTGAGGACAAAGGAAGACTGAATTTGATACGAACGGGACCAAATTTTTGGTTTTCAAAGGCAGAGAACAACTTCATGAGTTGGGTTGCCAATTCAAGATCACTAGTCCTACCATAATACTCGTCTATCTCGACCACCTCCAAATGTTGATGCGGTTTTCTAGCCATTTGCCTTACTTCCCTCGTCTTTCCTGCTCTAAACCAGCTGACTTTCCAATGCAAATTCCAACCATAGCCATTATGTTAAACGGCACCACCCTTCATCCCAGACAAGTACAAAACATAGATACCAATTCAATTAAGAACCAAAGATAGATGAAGTACTACCTCAATTGAAAATCTCTTCAAATTTGGGCAAGCTTCTACCAGGGAGGTCAACACAAAAAGACCATCGTCATCCCGTTCCACAACACTGATCATCAACTGTATCACTTTTCTTAGATTAGGGAACGGAAGAAGCTCTCGAGCTCCCTGGAAAAAAGAAGATTGAAGCGGTTTTCACCAACATGTTAAAGAAGGAAAAATACAATCTTTCAAAATGTCATTTTAACCTGTAGACCGTATAGGTACAACTCAAGAACTTGGAGATACGGTACGCTGCAAGATATCTGGCAAAACATATCGTTAATCTTCTTCCATGAATAGCCTATACTAATACAAATCTTTTCAAGCTTTTGTAGATTATCGAGTCTTAAACTAATTGGTGAACCAAGGGAACAAAAGGATGCAACATTTGAATCACATATTTCTACAGATTCAATTCCATAACATAATCTCATATCAAGGTTTTTCAGCGCAAGGCCTTATCCATGGATTTCAACTTTCACTAATTTGCATGAGCCAAGACTGGATAGATGTTCAAGAACTGGACAACTGCTCAGAATTTTCCTTAGGTCTGCATCATTCACATCAACACCCTTCAAGATGAGATTGAGAAGCTTTATCTCCATATTCCGAACATTGAGAGAGTGTCGTTTCAACGAAGTCCCACATTTTCTATCAAACATTCTTTTGGGAAAACAATAGTTGCTCCAAGTTCTGTAGTTTCTCTACAAATCCAATTCTAACTTCTGAACGTTTTTTGAAATCGCAAACTTAATCCATTTACTAATTGCAACCTTTGCATTCTTGTTCAAACCAAAACAAATCTTAAACTCGTCAATGGTGGGGTTCTTGTTCTGATGAGTAATATGGTCAACCCAACTGATGAAGTTATTCTCTGCCTTTGACAAACAAAAACTTGGTCCCGTTCGTATCAAATGCAGTCTTCCTTTGTCCTCAAAGACTAAACGATCTGTTTGACACCACAAATACCTCCATCTTCTTGAAAGCTTGCTAGTGACTGCTGCATCCTCAAGAGGCAAAGAAGACAGAATAGAAACAAGAACTTCATCCGGCAAATGGCTCAGTAGATCGTCCGAACTAAGATCATGAAGGTCAATCTTAAAAATACACATCAATCACATAAACAAAAACAAGAAAAGGATCAGCTTAGTTTTTAACACTGGAACAATTACCGGAACTTTCCATAGGGATAGTTCTAGAAGTTGCAAAAGAATACCCACTAACAAGAAATGAGCACACGATAAAACCATTAACAATTCCACACATATTTAAGCACACTGCACATATTGTCACAATTAACTAAGTAAATTCGAAATAGACTGGAAAAACTAGTTGGAAGTAAGATTCAATTTTCGGAACACGGATGATAATCGAAGTCAACCGAAAACAATTAACAAAGATCGAATCAAATGAAGGGGAGAAAACCCATAATCTGTTGATAAGATTTTCAAGAAATCATGTTGACAAGATTTTCAAGAAATCGCCTTGTTTTGTGCCAGCCGTATCTTTTTCATCTTTCGTAAAAAACTGAAATGTGGAACCCTGCCAAAAGAATGGAGAATTGGAGAGTCCAACACTTCAAAAGGATAATGAACTGCATAAGTTAATTTTCACATCAACTGCCCAACCCACAACAAAAACCAGAATAAGCCAAGTCGAGTTTATCTGCGACTTCAATGGGTCTATAAAGTATTCAAACCAACGGGAGTATTATCGGTTAAGGGTTAGGCATACATCAAACCGGGCGTGATGGCCAAATCAGTGGCCTTCGAGCCACATATAAGTCTAGATTTCTACACCAAACAATCCTAAAACATCATACATTAACTAAGAAATGATTAATTTATAGTTTACAACATATAATTACCTCAAATCGACGATAACTTGCCAATCGTCGCAGTTTTTCTCCGTTTCTTCGTAAGTTTTGAGGGGCTTCGTGAAGTCAATGAAGGGGTATTTATTGGGCTTTATAGCCGCTCGTGGGGAATCTGGTACCGAACCTCCCCCCCAAGAAAAACGGAATTAACCCCAAAATTCAGAACTTTTACGATCTTGCTACCCAACCCCCTAAGTTTTACTTATTTATTTTCTACCCCCTTAACAATCAAAACACCATCAACTTTTCTTATTTAGAATAACTTTTGAATGTTCATTTCTAATTATTCAATTAACAATTTTATTTTGGTAATAATCAACCTTAATTAATATTTCTTATTTGAAGTCGCTCTGAGATTAGTCGGGTTGCATAACGGGTTGGATATTTAGATTAATAAAAAAAATTGTCTTTTAAAATAGATCGAATATATAACAATATACATTTTTTTGTTAAATCAATATATTATGTAAGTTATCTTAACAACACGTATCACAGAACATTTAACGAAACTTGATGAAATAATGTGAAGTCTATAAAAATAAAAAGTAAAGCAGCGGGTGTTTTATAAAAACGGTTATGTCCCAATGATTCGGTTTCCAAAATCAACCGATTTAGTCCTTGATATCCACATCGTATGAATCTTGGTTAAAAAAACAGGAAACAAATCTCCAATATATTTTTAAAAACAGACTTTTTTAGCTAATGTTTTGCTTCAATTAGTTTTCAAAAAATACAAGAACTTCCTAAAACCTAATTTATACTTACTATATTATAAAAGTATTTGACAAAAACTTTTAAAAACCATATTGTATACATAAATTATTGCTTATGGATGCATATTACTTAAATTTTAAGATTACAAGTAAATTATGCATAAGTACAACTTATGAAGCTTCATATTTGAATTTATGTAACAAATTGTAGATAAATATAATCAAATTCAGGATAAAATTCTCATTTTAAATATATCTAAAATATAATTAGGATAATTATTGACTTATAACATAATACTTAATTAATATCTTTATAAAAACTATATTATTAAATCAAAAACAAATTACTTCATCATTAAACCTAAATTAAATTAAAATAAAAAATTTGAATTAAATAAATTACACAAAAAATGAGAACTTTTATATTTTTTTAATTTTTATTATATCTTCAAATTTATATTTACAAAAATTATTGGTTGCTCAAAACCACATAAATCCATATTATAATATCGATATAGACCAAAAAAGAATAAAATAAAACATTAAAATTGAGATTTGTCTTAATGCATTATGCAGGTACTCTTCTAGCTATTTAAAAAAATTTATGATTTTCTTTTATCATTTTTATTAATAAAAAAATTAGTTTTTTTAAATGTTGTTATAAATATTGACCACACAATCTCAATTGCATCCCAAATTGATGAGATTATAATCATTATATTCATACAGAAAAATAATCAAATTTACGCAAGGCCCAAATATGAACTCGAAATCGTTCATAATGTGGAAATGATAAACTTAAATCCTTAAGGAGGACTTTAACCAATCACAAAATAATTAACTCGACGGAATTAAAATAAAAAGATAGAAAGACATTGAATTTACGTGAAAAACCCAAAATGAGAAAACCCACATGCAGAGGAGAACACCAAGAAATTCACTATGCTTGATGACGTTACAATACTTGAAAATACGAATAAATCTTTTGAAATCTATCTGGTTAGAGAATATCACAACGAAATATGAAGAGAACTACTAAAAAACAATAGAGAAATCGCATAAAAACTGGCCTAACAACCCTTCATTACCCCTGCGTTGGAAGTTGCTTGGAAAGTCACCTAGCACCCTTTTGCATGCCTCTAGAGAGTGAGGCGACTTTTCTTACAAAGTGGTCTGGTTCCTGTTTGTTTAAGTCATGAAATCTAATCAACACAAAAGCTTAAGCAAGATTCTAAGCCCGCTGGAAAATTTGCATGAAACACTCTTAGTCTTCAATTTGATGAATATTTTGGAGGCAACTTATTTACAAACACATTGAATATTTAAATATATGTAATTAATGTTGTAGTATCTAAAAATCATAGAAACTTAATGCAAATCTTTTTTATTTTTGAATATGTCTTAACATTTTTATAGTATTACCAACTCCACACCATCAGGTATTCTTGGTTCCAACTGCTGTTGTGCACGATATCTACCACCATCCTCATCCTCATCCTCATCCTCATCCTCCATTGTTGCTTCAATCACAAGCTTCTTCAATGCAACACAATTTTGAATGAAATACATAACCAATTCAAGATCACTGGTCCCCCCATGATACTCGTCGATCTCAACCACCTCCAGATGTTGATGCGGTTTTTTAGCCATTTGCCTTACTTCCCTATCCATCTTCCCCGCACTAAACAAGCTCGTTTTCTGATGCAAATTCCAACCAAAACCATTATGTTAAACCTCACCCTTCATCCCAAACAAGTACAAAAGATAGATACCAATTCAATTATTAAGAACTAAAGATACATCAAGTACCATAATTGAAAATCTCTGCAAATTTGGGCAAGCTTCTACAAGGGAAGTCAACGCAAGAACACCATCTTCACCCTGTTCTACAACTCTGATTGTCATTCCTTTAAGTTTTGGTAGCTTAGGGAACGGAAGAAGCTCTATAGAAACCTGGAAAGAAAATTGAAGCAGTCTTCAGTAGGATGTTGAAGAAGGAAAAATACAACCTTTCAAAATGTCATTCTAACCTGTAGACGATATAGGTCCAATTCAAGAATTTGGAGATACGGTACGCAGCAAGATATCTGGCAAAACATATCATTGATCATCTTCCAAGAATGACATGTACTGATACAAATCTTTTCAAGCTTTTGTAGATTAACGAGTCTTGAACTAATCGGTGAACCCCGGCAACTGAAGAACACAATGTTTGAATCACATATTTTAACGGATTCAAGTCCAGAGCAGGATCTCATACAAAGGTTTTTCAGCGCAAGGCCTTTTCCATGGATTTCAGCTGTTACTAATTTGCTTGAGCCAACAATGGATAGATGTTCAAGGACTGGACAATTGCTCAGAATGTTCCTTAGGCCTTCATCATCCACATCAACAAACTTCAAGATGAGAGATTTGAGAAACTTTATCTCCATAACCGGAAAACAATAGTTTCTCCAAGTTCCGTGGTTTCTCGACAAATTCAATTCTAACGTCTGAACATTTTTTGAAATCGCAAACTTAATCCAGTTATTAATTGCACCCTTAACATTCTTCCCCAACCCAAAACAAATCTTAAACTTGTCAATAGTGGGGCTTTTGTGCTGATGAATAATGTGGTTAACCCAACTCATGTACTCGTTTGCTGCATCTGAAAAATAAAAATGTGATCCCTTTCGTATCGGATACCATCTTTCTTTGTCTTCAAAGACTAAACGATCTGTTTGACACCACAAATACCTCCATCTTCTTGAAAGCTTGCTAGTGACTGCTGCATCCTTAAGAGGCAAAGAGGACAGAATAGAAACAAAGAATTTCATCCGGCAATTGGCTCAGTAGATCGTCCGACTCAAGACCATGAAGGTCAACC